CCTTGTGCTCCAACCAGTGATACTCGCTCCACAATAACCTTTGTAGAAGAGAAAGAAAAAGAGCAAGGGCCTCCTCCGAGAATACAAGACAAGATTGTTTTTTGGAGAAGATGTAAAAATTCACATCATTGCCAGGACTGCTCTTGGCACATTAACTCAAACTTTCTACAAGTTCTGTAAAGTTATAAGTAATTTTACAGTAATTACAATAAGTAATTTTACAGGATTGCAACAGTCCCACACATAACCTTTGTCACTGATACCTTTCAGCTATAGAATTAGCTTAGAATACCCAACACAGGTTCCTAAAATATAGTTACCAGGAAATCCTGCTGTCCAAACAAAAGTAGTTTCAGAAAGAATAAAAAGCAGGATTAAGTTGACCAGATTCTCAAGGAAATCCATGACCCCTGAAGATCCTTTCCAACCAGACATGGCCACCTTTTTGCTTGCTCAAAAGCACTTAACTCAGTAATTACTGAAGAATAGGAAATTCTGCTTCCAATTAGAAAAAACTGTTCTTGTATCACAGGATTTCATACACATCTGATAACTCCAAAGCAAGGGCAAAACAGTTCCTACTTCAACATTAAGAGGGAATGTCTTCCATACCTAATTTTTCAATAATAACATCCTCAATGCCTCTCATTTCAAAACCCTCAACAGCATCCTATGTAGCCACATCTACTTCTGAGTTAAGCCCTCTTGGACTCCACCTGCTATTCCTTATGCTTCCCTTACTCCCCAAGTAGAGAGAAACGATGGGATCTATGCTGCCCTCTCATGCCAGTCTTGTCCTAATGAAATCAGGCACAGTGATCATGGCGGGGGAGAAGGAGCAACTTTTGCTTTTAAAATCAACTTCAGCTTTCTACACAAATCAAGTGTGGCTAAATCCGACTTTGAAAAAAGTGATGAAGCCTGCAGCACAGGATAAAATTCCCTCCTGTTGTGGTGAGTCCTGCATGAGTCCCAAGCAGGTCCTAGGAAACACTGGTCCTGGGAAATATGCTCTAGAGGAGCCTGCTTGAGCAGGGAGGTCCTGCACCTAGGCAGGAATAATCCCATGCACCGGTACAGGCTGGGGATTGACCTGCTGGCAAGCAGCTCTGCCGAGGAGGACCTGGGAGTGCTGGTGGACAACAAGTTAAACATGAGCCAGCAGTGTGCCCTTGTGGCCAAGAAGGCCAATGGTCTCCTGGGGTGCATGAGGCAGAGTGTTGCCGGCAGGTGGAGGGAGGTGATCCTGCCCCTCTCCTCCGCCCTGGGGAGGCCTCCCCTGGAGTGCTGTGTCCCGTTCTGGGCTCCTCAGGACAAGAGAGACATGGCACTCCTGGAGAGAGTCCAGCGGAGGGCTACCAAGATGATGAGGGGACTGGAGCACCTCTCCTCTGAAGAAAGACTGAGAGAGCTGGGCCTGTTCAGCCTGGACAAGGCAAGACTGAGAGGCGATCTCATCAATGTGTACAAGTATCTGAAGGGGGAGTGTCAAGAGGATGAGGCCAGCCTCTTCTCCGTGGTGCCCAGCAACAGGACAAGAGGCAAAGGGCAGAAACTGAACCACAGGAAGTTCCATCTGAACCTGAGAAAAAACTTCTTGACTGTGAGGGTGACTGAGCATTGGAACAGGTTGCCCAGAGAGGTAGTGGAGTCTCCTTCCCTGGAGATATTCAAGACCCGCCTGGACGTGATCCTGGGCAATATGCTCTAGAGGAGCCTGCTTGAGCAGGGAGGTTGGACTAGATGATCTCCAGGGGTCCCTTCCAACCTAAACGATTCTGTGATTCTGTGGTTCCCCTCTCTCCAGCCCAGCACAGAGGCTTTCAGGTGCTCCAGGAGGACAAGGCAGCAGAGAACTATTCTCCCTTCCACTCCAGATAAGTCCCAGAGCACTCCCCCCTTTCATTTACCTACTTGCTGCTAAATGGCTGACTTTTTCACCATTCTTACTTTATGTATCTCAGTCGATTTACTGAATTACTTAATGACTATGGTGTAGAGAGACATAATTTTTACAGGATGAGGGACCCTGGCAAGGACACAGTAAGTATATGTGCAAAGGGGACACAGCACGGCCAGGGAAGAGTACATATTGGTTGACATACTCATACCTTTCTCTTACAAGGTCAGCCTTGCATGGCACATAAACGCCATGAACTGAACTACAAATTTCCAGGTCTTCACGAGCCAGGGGAAGGTGGGATGCCCTCAAGCATTATGGCTTTGGAGACTTGAAATCCAGGAAACTTTTTGGCGCTCGAGATAAATGTCCCTTTTGACTCAGGAGGTGCAGGACACAGGAATTACCAGGCCACAGAAACAGCTGTCATGATCACAACAATGGGTCTAGGATGAGGAATTAACCCTCTAGTTGTTTTGTGCTCCCTATCACTTCCTGCCTGCCTAAATCGGAGACCTGTCAGGGGCTGCCTTGACTTGCAAACCCGCTGCAACAAATGTGAGCACAGCCTTTTTGTTTCACATCCCTAGAGGACCATAAAGCACCTCAAGCTGAGGCTGAGAAGTGCTGCTGGAAGTATGAGATAAGCTCTGCTGGAAAAAAGCAAGGCACAGGCCTGGCACCTCATCAGCAAAGCTGCAGCTGCATGACCTATTTTTGCAACAACTGCTGAGCCTTGACAGCAGCTTCTTCCTCATGAAAATGCAAAGCTCTTGGAGCAAGCTATAACACACCCACTGAGGCAGGCAACACAAGTTAGACCAACAAATCCAAAGCAGTGGCTTTGACAGTCTGCGTTTATGGATTTTTCCTCCTATTGATTAACCCATTTGGAGTTTGTTTGTTTATTTGTAGTAAGGCTGCTTTGCAGCTCATTTACTCTCTCTTTAATGAGATTCCTGAGGTGACACTCTCCCTCAGGGAGGCCCATGCACAGTCAATGCCTTGTGTGCATTAACTACAGACTCCAGCACAATCATTCTGTATGGTGCATCCTCCCACCCATGCTCCAATTCTACAGTGTGGTTTGTACAACATGCGCCTCAGTGGGTCAGGTTCCTGCAAGTTTGAAACCTAGCCTTGGTATGCTAGGCAGACTGCAGTTTCATAGCCTGCAGTGAGGACAGGAGGTGCACATTTCTTGAGGGGTAGCAGAAATAGCTATGAAATGCCAGCTGATCACATCATGAAGGAATGACCATTCATAGCACATCCCTTTTATAGCAACAGGGATGTAGAATAAATGACTGTCATAGCTTTGTTGGACAATGAACAGCAACATCAGGGGAAGATTTTATTTCCTTTTTCAGAGAAAGGGATAAAGATGTTCCAGTCCATCCTTTCCCATATTTCAAAAGCACAGTGCCAGGCACTCCATTCGTGACAGCTGATGTCCAGCTGTCAATAGCGGCTATGTGCAGTTGTCAGTAGCATACCTAAGCAGTAGCTAAAATAAAAGAAATTGCTCCAAAGAAGATATCTACAAGAGGAGCGAGAGATTTTTCAGAGGCACAAACGCCAAATGGGTACCTGTCCTTTGTACTTACTTTTTTAATCCAAAAATAACAATGTAAACAATAGAAAAGGCTATTAACAAAAATAGACTTGAACTGAAAGAAGATACACACTGCACACAAAGGCCAGGGTTATCATAAGCAACTATTGAGCAAATAATCACAAGTTAAATTTAACATAAAGCAGTACAGTGAAAACACTGAGGAATAAAAATAATTGCTGTTTCCAATAATAATTAACCCTGAGCTCACTTAAGATTATTAAAACCATAGCACCAACAAGCTATGCAGTGTCACTCTGATTGCTTTCTACAGTATCTCCACTCCCTTTCTTCTTTAGCTTGTACTTAGAGAATAAGAGCTGTGGGATAAGAACATCTCTACACATTTGTGTGGCATCTAACACTATATGACCCTGGTGCTGTTCAAAGTCTGTAAGTATTTCTGTTGTAGGAGTTAAAGCATTGCTGAAATAGCCGTCATGTAAAAACAATTTGAGCTCCAAGACTTTGTGGTAGACGTTCAGCCACGACACAATGAAGTCATCAGCAGCAATCCACCTGAAAACAGATGGAAGTGGTCTGCTTTTTTAGCAGCTGGGGAGGAGGTGGAAATTGCAAAGGAAGCCACGTGAACTGACAGGGTAAGATATCATGCCTTTCTAAAGGGAAATAAGACGATAGAAAAAAGCTGACAAGGAGAGCATCAAGCAAAAGAAAAATTAAACACTCCCTGGTTCCCAATAAAATAATGGTGTACTACCTGCATGGGAAGGAAGGGATGATCTTCCTAACCCGAGTTAGAACATTCCACACCTTTGGGCTTGCAGGGTCAATGAAACAGGAAGCAACTTTCTCCTCAGCGTGCTGACAGAGAACACCCAGACAACCACACAAGGTAAATATCATTGCATCTCAAAACTCTGGCCTGGCTAAAATTACTAATCCTAAGAGTAAACTGAAAAATGGAATAGTAGATCTCAGGACTGAACATAACTGCACTGTGTTTTGCATTGTAAATATGGTGTGCTATGCATCTTCAGAGGTAGTGAGTGATTAGCTCATCCCACCGTCAATTCATAAGAGACCTGCCTCACTCAAGACTGAGCACGGTCCACACTCTTACACAGTTTGCAGTAAAAGTACATCATGGGCCAGGAATGACACCAATTTGCCTCAGTCGCGTAACTCTGGCAGCAGGACAACTCTCCACATAAGCAGGAAACCAACATACCTTACGCTTCAGTGGCACTTCACAACAAACCAAAAGCTGCTGGGCCTGACCCTAATTCATTGCTGAATCAATGTTGCAAATACATCACCTATTACACTTCATTAGCTTACAGTAGTGTGTATTTACACACATACATGCAATCTCTTTTCTACTTTCAGAAGATTTTATCTGCCTTAGTTGGAAAGGCAGCATTATCACAGTCATGGCTGGTCTAAGGCAAGAAAATAT